GCACGAATTGGACATGATTAAATTTGTTGATGTCCAAACACTTCAAAAAAATTGAACTTTTCAAAGTTTTGGCCAATCCATGCGAGTTGTTTCTTCAGCTGCGTAATATGTAGTACACCACCTTCATTACATATGAATGTAGAACCAAATTTATTTATTTTGCAAGCCTATGCAGGAGGATAGGATAGAAGGAAGTAAGTGCCGAGCCCTCATCATTGTCAGTCTTTATACTTGTTTGAACAATGGTAAGAATGTTTTTTTTCAATCGACATTTTACCCTTATAAAGTTATATTTTGCTATCCTCGATCCAGGGTTCACTTGTATATGGGGAACATGGCCAACTTACTTAGAGCAAACTTAGATGTGGATATATGCAAGGAGGTAGTGATTTACAGTATGTCAGCTGATTACTTTCTGCTAGCAGCTGTACTTTTGTCAGAATTTTAGTGCTGCGCCTGCCCATCTTCCACCGAACTTTTAATACTTTGCCTGCTGTTCTTTTATTAGGAGGATTTGCAGGGCATTTATTTTGATTCTCGTCTATTCTTTATAGTGAATGTGGATGTTAGGCATGAAATGTGCTATCCTTGAGCTTGAATCATTTTTGTATCAGTTGTCGACTTATTAAGGTTATGCGTCCCTTTTAGCGATGTATAAGATTGTCAGATATTATATTTAAATTCCTTTTGTTCCATTTGCAGGCATGTTTGTACTCCTTGAAGCATAAAATTCCTCTTGTTGCATACTGTGAGGAACAATGTTTGAACATCCTTCCGTCGACTTGTTGCACACTGTGCACCGTGAAACCAAGGTACGGTATTTAGGTTTTTGCTAGAATAACTTCACTTACCTTCCTTTCTAACCATGTTAAGCAGTTGAGCCAACATTGAGATTATGTCATAGGTAAAAGTGATGCCTTCAGTTGAGGACCTTTTGGAATATTCATCCATTCAGGTTTGTTAATGTAACTATGGCAAGTGCAAAGTGGATATGCCATTGGATGATGAGTTTTTCTATATTTGGATCAGTTTCGTTTAGAGTGAACTTACACGGTTTACTTGCATTTGCAGAAGTTGCTGTTCCTTGGCGATGCGGAGGAAGATTTATCTGTCCTCAGACAACGTTGCTCGGGACTAACGGAAGGGAAAGCATGTGTTGTCAAAGAGCAGCTAAATGCACTTGAGATTGTTCCCCTTAATGCTTCAAAAGGTGGTGGTCTAAGGGTTCTACTTGATCATCTCGGAATAACTGAAGACGTATGAATTTGTTCCCATCAATGAACTGCATTTACTGTTCCTTTTGTACCTTATTTCATCTTCTTCATTTTTGAAAGGAATGCAGTAGGGGAATCCCCTGCAGAGATTTTGTATCTTATTTCATCTTTGTATTGTGCTCGCTTAGAAAGCATCGCCACCACCATAATGTATTTACAGCTAGTATGTCTGCTTATGCAGTCTGATCTTGAAGCCATTGGAGACTACCAGATGGCTAAGCAATAAGTGATCCAACTGACATGATTACTGAAGCATTCTTTAGCAAGAGTGTGCTGATGATAGCTTCAGATATTCTAGGAAATGGAACATATGGAACATATGGAATGCACAAAAGACAATGTATTGTGGTCCAGGAACTACGAAAAGTCGCAAGTTTGTGATACCATCCATTAGGGCTGGCTACGAAAAGGTTTTGCGCATTTTTTGTACCTCGGGGAAGGGATGTGGGTGTTGGAGTGGAAAATTTCATGTCTACTTCAGGTAATGTGGTTTTAAAGTTTAAAATTATGTACTTGTAGTATTTTCATTGGTTTTGACGAGAACCTCCTCTTGTTGAACAGAAAAGAAAACAAGACGAGCCTATCCATGAAGAAAAACACCAACTGAAGGCACATTTTTTAACTTGTGATGACCTAATAGGAATTTTCTTGTGGCCCTTGATTTTGATGAACATGCCATTGGTCAATACTGTTTTTTCACAGTATAATTGCTCCTCAATCAATGGTTCTTCTACCATCTGGCGGGTTTTTTGTTGTTGTAAGAAAGTAAGAAGAGAATAGATGGTGTTAGAAGGGAGAGAGAGGATTGGTGGAATAGTTCGTTATATTGCTTGAGCCTCGTGGGCATATATATAGGAGTACAATCATCTATTTGGAGTACAAGACAAGGCGGAACAAATCCTAGTCTATCTCGTCTTTCCTAATAAACATTATATTCAACAGATGGTATAGCATCATGGGCAAGTTTAACGCAAAGAGCTGTATCTGTTGAGTTGTTCCGACTATGATTGAATCTATAGCATCATGTTGCAACCATTCATTTTTTACAGTTAACTTTACATACAGACGGAAATGAAATCAGACATAAGAGCACTCAGGCTGATCCCAGTAGGAAAATTAGTTTTAATTTCCATGTGAAAGTGTATAAGTAGTGTAGGTTCGTGAGAAGTGGAGGCTTGGCACGCTAGTCATATTCCAGGGTTTTGCTTTGTTAAGAGTTGATATGCATTTGTACATCCTTTTTTTTTCTTTTGAACCAGATGCATTTGTACATCTTGTTCTGGTGTGCAGAGTTGATATCTGAATCGATAACTGGGAGTGGCAAGAGATCATGCTCATGCTGCCGACGATTAGGATGGAAGAGGTACGTCGCGTCAATCGCACCCGATTAGTCGGAATCATGGCAGTTTTATACAACACATTGCATAGTAAGATCGGTCTGAACTCAGACAACTCTTTTTGAGGGTCTTTGATTTTTGGAATAAGAACAAGCACCGTATTGTTCACCTCTTCTGGCATGTCTCTGGTTTCAAAAAAAAAAGCATTGCACACGACTGACCTGAGCAGACCCTGGTGATTTATATAGAACCCAAGTCGTCCGAACTTTATCAGGGTGCATCATGAATAGTGCATGCTCGACTTCGAAGTCGGTTATCGCGGTGAGCAAGGCACTAGACGGGCGACAGCCGTCTGAGCTTTATTATGGAGATGCCCTGCTCCTCATAAGGTGCGCGTATTCGTCTGGCGCCTAATAACTGATTCACTTGCCACGTGGGTGAATAAAAAACGACGAAATCTGGAGGTGACTGACTTATGCCCACTCTGTGCTTCCGAGCCGGAGGACACGTTCCACACTTTTTGCAGATGTCCTCGTGCTGTGTCCTTGTGGCAAGCAATGGCGGCACACTGGAACCTCCCGGCTGTGAACAAGATGGTGCGAACTGGGCCTGAATGGCTGCTACAGATCCTCGGCGAAATCTCGGAGATGGAGAGGCTGCAACTGCTCATGACGCTGTGGCGCGTATGGCATGTAAGTAACGAGATTGTTCACGATAAACGGCCACCAGAAGTAGAGTCCTCGAGACGTTTTCTGCTGAGCTATGTCAATTCCTTGGAAGCAGTCCGGCTACACCCCCATGCTGATCATGTTAAAGGCAAAATGGTGATTGGTGGGGAGCATTCTAGAGGCTCGTCATCAACTGTGGTTCAGCCCAAAGAGCCAGGACTCCGGTGGGCGCTGCCGCCGGCGGGATGGATGCCACTGAGCGTTGACGGCTCATTCTGCGTGCACGATGAGACGGCAGGTGCCGGTATGGTCTTACGGGATGCTGCAGGAGCGATCATATTCTCTTCTTGCAGAGAGCTGCGGTCCTGTACGTCGCCGCTCGAAGCAGAACTTGAAGCATGCAGGGAGGGGATCCAGCTTGCGCTCCAATGGACAACGTTGCCAATTGTAGTAGAGATGGACAGCCTGGAGGCCACACAGCTCGTCCAAGACAAGAGCTTAGACAGATCAGCGAATTCTATGCTGATAGAAGAAATCAAGACTAGTCTTCAATCTGGAAGGGAGTTCTTAATCAAGCACATTAGACGTGAGCAAAATAATGTAAGCCACTACATGACTAACTTTGGCAGGAGAGAAAGACGTACTGCCGTTTGGCTTAAATCTGGACCTGGAGATGTACTGAACATTTGTAAGGCAGATGTACCTGCTGCTTGATTAATATATAACTCCTTTTCCACCGCAAAAAAAAAAGGTTATCGGCGCACATAAGCGCTCATTCATGGTGTCATCTACCTTCCGATGGACTAAAACAGTGATCACATCTGGCGATGTGTCATCTTGAGCTAAGAACAGTCTATTATAGAATTCATTAGCGGCCTTCTCAAGTCCCTCCTGGTCAGTCACAGTAGTCCCATCACTAAGCTTAAAGGACTTGATCCTATTAGTCCTAGCATTTTCTTTGGCCTCTGCCTGGAAAAAATTACGTATTGCGATCGCCCTCGGCCAGCCACACAGAGCATGGGATCGTTGTTTGGCTGCCATTTCCTCTCGTGCCCTAAGCTCGGATATTCCATTTATTAGCCATTTCTCTTCTGCCGTAGGTCACGACCAAAGAAACTTGGCTCGAAGGACTTCTAGGCGTTTGCGCAGCTTTGTACCGAGCCAAAGTCCTCCCTGCTCCAAGTTTGTAACCCCATTCAAAGAAGTAGCCATAGCATCTAGACCAGGCCCGGTTGGCGCCCAAGCATTCTCGACTGTATTAGCATAGTTTTGTCATGCATGGTCTAAGCATTTTTTTAAACGGAATGGTCGCTGTCCACCTCCCGTGTCAAACCAATCTGATTTCTTCACCGGCACGACTAAAGCGCAATGGTCAGATTCTGTTGTTTGGACATGTCCCACCAAACGTGTGCTTATTTTATTCACGCGGAAGTTAAGAAAATGCAACACGCATTACATCACTGCGTCATGCACACCCATACCGTATGTCTTAATCCGAAGTACAAACAGAGCTAGGTACCGACCTTTTTTCTGAAAATGAGGATGACCCGCGGTCATGCATGCAAACATTTTATTAATTACTCCCTCCGTTCGGAAATACTTGTCATTGAAATGAATGTATCTAGATGTATTTTAGTTCTAGATACATCTATTTTCATCCATTTTGATGACAAGTATTTCCGGACGAAAGGAGTATTAATCAAGACCTTAGAAAGTAATACTTCTACATCAGTAAGTCTTTTTTTTGCGGATGAAAAACTTGTATTATTCAACTCATAAAATTACAATCAACAGCAGCCAGCTGGACAGTTTCCTTAAGACCAAAAAATAAATCAGTAAATCCGAAGCCATCATCTCAATAATATCTGTCGCTACTCCTATGAAGGGGTGCAGATTATCTGAGCCGCATACCCAAACCTCACACCAAAGCCCAACATCTAAACTGAAGGGCCCAACCAAGCTGCATTGTCGGGTCTGGGGAGCTAGGTACCGACCTATTGTCCTAATCACCCGGTAGTAGTATAGTTGAGTACCCATCACTCGACATGCATACTCGCCGGCCATGTCCTGTTCGTGTATTGTGAGCTCACCGGCTAGTCTGGACAGAAGGCAAGGTGATAGTTCGCATCTGCCACGCAAGACTAGACTTTCTCAACGTCGAGGCAGAAAAGGTTCACGCCAGCGGTGTTGCATGAGAATGAGATGGGAACGTTGAAGCCTTCGACTACCGAGATTTCGCAGTTGTCCAAGGCAGGGTCGCTGCTAAGCGTGAACTCGATCAGCGTCACTGCCAACCGTATGCATAGCTTAACTATTG